GGAGAGGCGCGATGAGTTCGTTGCGCTTAAGCAGGAGGGGATGTCACTGCCTGAACTGAGACAGAAGTTCGACTACCTGTCCCAGTATGCGACGAGTCTGGTCTCCACTCCGGAGGATCGTTTGAATGAGTTCGTCAAGAAGCTACGGCCGGACTTGAGGCCGTACGCCGCGCTGATCACGACGACAGATTTTAATGCGACGTATGATTTGATTGTGAAGACGGAAAAGAGCATGGACGATTTGCAGGCAACCAAGAAGGAGGATCGAGCGACGAAAGACCCGCAACCCACGACCAGCACCGGGCCGAGCGGGAAGAGTTTTGGATTCGGGGGAAAGAGGTACGAGAAGGGTTCTTCGAGTGCGCCGCCGCCTAAGAGGAGTAAGTCGAAGCCGTCTCCGTCGGCCGCCGCTAGCAACTCGATCCGAACAAGGAGCCACCCGCAGTGTGTACAGTGTGGTAGGCATCACCCGGGCGAGTGTTGGCTCGCCCAAGGCTTATGTTTGGGTTGTGGTCAGCCAGGGCATTTCAGGAGGCATTGCCCGACAAACCCTAGTAGCGAGCCTGTTTTTCCTAGAGCTCCGGATCAGCCTGCCACATCACATCCAGCACGGAGTCAGCAGTCTACAGCAGCAAATAATCAGCAGAGACCACGTCCGCAGCAGTTAGGCCGGGCACCAGCGCGTACCTACGCCATGCAGGGGCGCGCAGATCCTAGTCCCAATGTTATCTTGGGTACGTTCATACTATTTGATTCGGTTATCCATGCCTTGATCGATCCGGGTTCTACGCTCTCCTATATCTGTGTTGGCATGCCTGCTAATTCTGCGATCGTGAGGAGTGACCTTGAGATACCTACCGTTGTATCGAATCCGCTAGGACATAGCATGCGTCTTCATCACATTTATCATAGGTGTCCGTTGCCCGTGCAAGGGAAGCAATTCCCTGCAGATTTGATAGAGCTACCACACAAGGAGTTTGACATTATCCTTGGTATGGATTGGCTCACCGAGCATAGAGCAGTGGTCGACTGCAGTTGTCGGACCCTACGGCTGAGAGTCGAGGACGGTAGCGACGTATCACTCCCCGGGGAGGTGTTCCCCAAGGCTCCCGAGTTCATATCGTCCTTGAGCGCGAGGCGCTTGATTCGCAAGAAGTGCGAGATGTTCCTGTGTCACGTTCAGGATATGCGAAAAGAATCACCACGTCAGCAGGACATCCGTACGGTTTGCGACTTCCCCGATGTCTTTCCCGAAGACCTACCTGGTTTGCCTCCGCCGAGAGA